TTGAGTCCTTTTTGATTCTTTGTAGCTTATTTGATGCTTTAGTTTACTTTTGTGCCCGCTGCAGATTTTGAACTTGAATTTGAAAATAGCTTTAAACCTATTATTTTATAATGAGATATTTATATTTGAGGTATCTACTCCCACGTTCATTGTAGACACAACCACAATTGCAAGAGGATCTCAAGGGGGTTATCTTTTAGCTGTAAAACGGCCATACAATTCAGGCATTAGGCGTAAAAATTGACAAATTCTAACCATTAGTCGTAAAAAGAGTAAACCGTATATTTTTCCTTTCTACAGTGTGTCATTTGGTTAACATATAAACGTTAGCCGTAAACGCTTTCAACCCATTGAGACTCTTGTGCCATTGTAAAATACAAAAAGTGACACGAAAGACTTTTAACATTTTAACCGAAAAACAACGGTTGAAAAAGGAACAAAATTCGCTCAAGCTGGGCTTACTATTGTGTTGGCTTTTACACAATGCTGGCTGCCTCATAAGGTCGCTTGGCTGCTCTTTCATTTACGCAGACCCATTCATTATCATCAAGGACTAAGAAATATTTTCAATGGAGCCATTCGTGAATTCAGAGGAAATCAACTTACCCATTAACAGGTTCGTAATCCACAACATACTTTCATTCCATCAAGATGACTTCATAAGCTAACCTTTTGTGTCTTTTGTGGATCATTGTGCTTCAGTGTTTCATAGGTCCTGCTCTGACCCAGAGAACTTTAGTTGTTAAATGAAACGAATTGTTGTTTCTGACACCGATCTGTTTCTGTTTTTTTGGTGAGACGGCTAAGAAAACAGGGAAAATCGATCCTTATTACCGGAACTACGTTGACCATGAACTGTATATCATCATCATCATCATCGCTCGTTGCGCCAGGAGGCGCATAAGGCCGTTGCATTGTCCGCCCAACCCCCCCCCCCTCCCTCCCGTCGCGTGCCGCCGCACTGGCCACATTCCAACTCTTCTACCCTACCTTACCTCTCTCTCTTTCGACAGTCCTTCCCCAAGTGGTCTTTGGTCCCCCTCTCATCCTTCGGCTCTCTGGTGTCCACCCCAATACCGTAAAACAGTCGTTTATGGTATTTCAGAGTACTGGCAATCTTTATATTAAAAATGTTCCTCTCACGGGCCTTAGAGGACATATCTGAACAGATCTGGATCCAGTCCAGTGCAACCCTGTCCTGAAACATGCCGTGAGGAAACTGGATTCTAAAATGAAGCCATTTCTTGTTTACTAACGCAGCTCTAACGCAGCAATTTCATTGTAACCACTACTAACTCGAATTTTCAAAACGGCTTAATTCAGAATGATCTTCTGTACGATGTCATCTGGTGAACACTTTTCGCTAAACACTTTTTCAGGCACATTCCCTTTCTAACAGAATTGTTCCAGAATGAGGTAAGAAAGAAAGTTTCAGTGTACAGCTCTGAATATTAAAAGTAATAGTGTTTCAATCTAGGTACGCTTTGTACTTTCTTGCTTAATTTTTTCAGTCGATGACCTAATGTCGTGGATGAATAATAAGATGGTCTATTACAAATGACTGGAGTGACAACATACGACTTCTGAAATTGATTTCACTTGATTTAATTATTTAACTACCTTCAAGGTGATTCTTCAGAAAAGAAGTTATGGGACAATTTTTGGTAAACTTTCCTTAAATGTTCCTTACCAATGTCTGTTTCGGAAAATACAAAAAGAGAGATAGGTCATCTCGCTTGTTTAGGAGATATATGCACCAAACTTACCCCATTTATGCCTGTACTGGCACTAATCATGCCCGTCATTTCATCGGTTCACTGTACATTTTGCTGCTGCTGGAAAAAAGCTTGATAGGTAGTAAGTCTCGAGTGTATGGAACAATTTAATATATAATTTGAGGGAATATCACGCAAATTTAAACGATATCGACTCAAAATGTTCTTAGAGTCATTCCTTTCAGGGTCATAATTTGAAACTATGGGAAATAAAACATGGTCACTTTGCTCATTTAAGAGGTAAAGTCCATAGCACCTCTTTACCTGGTCCATTGATTGATAAACAATACAATGTTCTTGGAATGCATATATGCTTATTGGCTTGATTATGTGATATTATGCACAGTACATGATGTGCAGGGCTAATTACTGAGGAATCACCTTAACCCTTAAACTCCTAAGATCTCATTAGTAATTCTCCTTACTGTCAGCCTTATAGTTCTTGTGATGAAAGTTTGGAGAATTTGGTATTGGATCAACTAGTAATTCCTATATTAATATTTTTCTTTATTCTCATCACTTGTCTGCTTGATATTGTACTGATATTGTAAGGAGAAATTCTGTCTTGGTCACTCATGGGAGTTACAGGGTAAAACTAGTCCAATTTGGCAGGGATAACTTACATGTGATATATATGTAACCTTGACATCTCAAGGTCTCACATGGCTAAACAATTATGAGGTTTGAAATGATTTGAATTGAGGCCAGTCATCTGTACATGTGTTGCTCTGTGTCAGAGTAGGCAAGATTTCTGTGTAACCCATAGATCATTATACACACAGTTATAAGAACATAGAAACATTGGCATAAACAGTGCACTGATTTTAGGACTACATCTTTAAAGTATGGGGTTATAGGGAAATCTTTCCTTTAAGTGTTTGACTGTTCATCTAAAGGATTCTTTAAATCTCCTTGACCTGAGACATTTCCTTTGTCTTATGTACTTCAAATTTGATGATGATGATGATCAGGGTGTTCATCATACATTGTCACTTATCTAACTTTTAGGACTTTGGCTTTGTCATAGAATAATTGGGGGTTATATTTCTCCTCAAAGTGCTTGAGTGTTTATATGAAGGATTCTTTAACTTGTCTGAAGCTGAAATATTTCCTTTGTCATATGCTTTTGAAATACAATGAGAGTTGATTGAGTCAAAGAGCAGATTCTTTCAACCATTACACTCCCAAGATCTCATTAGTAATTCTCCTTACTTTCTACCCTAAAATTCCTATGATGTTAGTTTTGAGAATTTGTTATTGGATCAACCAATAATCCCCTAATTAATACTTTTCTTTATTCTCATCACTTGTCTCCTTGATTTAGTTTTGATATTATTATTATCATGGTAAATTTTCACTCTTGAAAGTTAAAAGGTTAAATCTGATGGGGTCTTCATCACACATTGTCACTTTCTTGTAAAAACTCAGATAGGATTTTTTTTATATCCATTATTTGGTCTCACTAATTTTTCATAGAAAACATCTCTTTTGTGATAATAACAGTGATGATGATAATGATGGTTCTTCCACTTTTTTGTTTTTGTTTTGTTTTTTTACCTAAAAAGACTGCTGAGGTGTACATGGAGATCTTACTTTGTGATAATGAAGATGATGATGGTGTTGATTCTCTTTGTTCTCATCACTTGTCTTCTTGATATTGTTTTGATATTATAATTAGAAATTCAGTCATGATTTCCATGAGAGTTAAAGGGTGAAATGTATAGGGGTCTTCATTACACTGAGAGACATTTCTTTTCTCTTAAAAACTCAGAGAGGTTTTGTGTTTCATCCATTTGTTGGTCTTGGTGATTTGTCATAGAGAAAACCCCTTGTTTTTAGGGAAGTTGCATTTTCATCACTTTTGGTAGCTAAATGGTTCAGTGCTGAAAATGAATTGTGAAAGTTGGCTGGTATGAAGTGGGATAAGGAGGAGCATCAGGGATAGGAGAACCTAAGGAAAACCTAGAGGAGGGAGGCTGGAGGAACTATGGCTTGTCTTTTCTCCCCCACCTTCACCATCATTTCACTTTCAAACAGCACACAGTCCTCAGCACAAATCTCTCTCCACAGACTGTTGCTCTTCAGCCCTCATACTACATCAAAATTCGATGTGGTCATTCCAATACAGGGGTAGTTTGGTGATGAAGTTTCCGAGCTGTTGAATACAGTTGGCCATGAGTCAATGTAAAAATGATAATCAATGGCAAAACACAAGGATAGATTAATGAAGGCCAAAACATTAAAAGAGGTAGTGAAAAAAGAAAATCAATGTGACACGATTGTGAACTTGTGGATAAAACTCTGCAGAAAACAATTGTTTAGTGAAAGTGTATTTTGTCAGACCAAGTCTAAGGCTGCAAAATAAATCTGAGAATTAACTCCAACAATCCAATTCCATTCTCAGTTTTATTTATTTACTCTTATCTTAGAAATATAATAAATTTCACTTAATTAACAAAACTGAAAAATCAGAGGAAAATAAAAAATGCAAAAGTACTTCAAATAAGAGAAAAATGTAAAGCGACCACAGGAACAAAAGCCTTCAAGTTGGCCAAAGAATAAGTAGGCCTCCTAGGAATCAATAAGTTTTTAGGAGCCACTGACCATTAGGAACAAAAGTCTGCCATCAGTTACAAAATCTCATCACTAATTATATTATTCCTAACAGATCCTTTTGATGAACCATTTTAAAACATCATATCAACAACTTCTTTAGCATTTACCTTTTCCTGAAAGTTCTAAAAGACAAAAATATGACAATACTGACCTCCCCACCCAACCCCCTAAGGTAGAGGGAAAAAATACATAGAAAACTGCCACTTGTACAACATTGTACACAACAAAGCCATGCATTCCTGGTTTGTGATTTTGTTTTCCTTCAGGTATTCCAACTATCTTTTCAATAATATCAGTTATCTTTCTGCTCTGAATTCTGGGAGATTGTTTCATTGATATCTTAGGGATTGTGTTCACTCATCTGTTTGACTTTTGCAGTAGTATTTTGTGCAATGCTTGTTCTCCTTTTCTTCTGTTTTTTACATAACTCACAAAACAAGTTAGTGTTTAGTTTTAGAGTTTCCCGATTATGATCCAAAGGAAACTTTACCAAAATTCTCATATTAATAAACATTTACTTAATTTCATGCTTTCAATTTTTTCATGCTGATTCATTTTAGTCCCTATAATAGGTCTGAGGTCTAAAATAACCATTTATCTACAATAAAATGAAAAATTTCTGCTCAAACTAATACCAGTGTCCATTCAAAAACAATGTGCAGGAAAGATAATCTTTGTGCAGGATCAGTTGTTACTCTGTTTCTTCCCTGCTTCATTGTTGTCCTCCTTGTGTTCCTCTTTCCTGAAACAAACATAATACAATTTCAACTCTAAAGCATTATACAGATCAGAATTTCTAAAAGATTCAAAGTAGCCAGACATACAGCTCAAATAGCTATCAACTTCAAAGTCATTAGGTAGCTTATATCTCTCAAGTTGCTTTCGTTGCATTTACTTGGGCCTGTCTATCATCCTCTTGGGCTTCCGTTTGAAGAATAATTTCTGAAGATTTCACACACTAAAGCAACTTTGATTCAAGGCCAATTTTGAAAATGATTCATCAAAATCTTCTGGTTCTGTGGGGGAGGGGGGTCTAAAGAATATTATGGAGCCTTACAGGGGTTCAGGTGAATTTTACTGGGAGACAACCAAAATCCTCAAGCAGCCCCCAACCCTCCCTCCCCCCCCCCCCTGCTTAACAGTCCCTAAGATAGCTAATGGAAATTTCTTATCAGAACTAGACCTACCCGATGTATGTAAAATCCAACGTCACGTCGTCTCCCATCAGCACAAATGGAGCCCATTGATTAGGTTTGGGAAAGCCGTTGCTTCTCAACCATTTTACGGCCTGATGAAGAGATTCACTGGCACTTTCTCCACGTACAAGGTGTTTGTAGAAATGATTCATGAGCTGCTCCGTTGCTTCGTCTTCTATGGCCCACGATGCTACCAACACTGAACGTGCACCGGATGCTAAGAATGCACGAGCGATTCCAAGAACTCCTTCGGCTTTGACCAATCCACGCGCACTGTGACAACAGCTCAATACAACCAGTTTTGCTCGCACTTGAACTCCGAAAATGTCGGACATTGTCAAGAGGTAGTCTTCTTCTTGTGGAAAACTGTTGGTGATACATTTAGGACATTTAGGCGACAGGGCAATCTCTCCTCTTTCGGCATTTCCATGCGCGGCAACATGTATGAGACTCACTGAAGGTATCGCTTGAAGCACTGCCTGCTTAGTTGCAGACTCTCCTAACAAAGGCTGAACTCCCAGCAGTCGACCAACCATCTCTGCTTCCTTTCTAGCACAGAACAATGACACAAAGTTAGTGACACGTCCATCGTAATACACCTGGCCAACCGTAGGATCACCCACTACAAGTGCACCAGTTTCACTGTGATAATCCGCTGGACAATCATGAATGAGCTGGAGGGTCGTCAGAGAAGGGACGATACGGATTCTGTAAGTCTCTGATAGATACTTTCCGGCTGATTCATCACGCAAGGCAGCAAATGGGACTCGATAGGAGAAACGATCCGGCACAATGATGATTTCAGGCTCTGTAAGTAAATCTACCACAGGAGCGATGATCCATTTGTAACACAAATGATGAATTCTTTCGGTTTCTTTGCTTTCGTCACCGCGCAAAGTTGCTCGGCTCTCTTCAAAAAGAGATGTCGTTACGTTGCCATCCAAAGATCGATCTTCGCAATTCGCTGTGAATAAAACGCCAAAGCTGGCGGCGCTCTTTTTGAAAATTCCCTCCACGTTGCAAACATTCTCAGGAATGAGAGTGCTGTCTTTCACTTTGTCGGTGACTCGAAAGGAAATGTCTCCATTTGCTTTCAAAACCCAGAGACAAACTTGCCGCTCACGATACGAAATGTACAAAAAGACACAGTTACTCTCTTTTTTCACGATGTTTTCAATCCCAAACCATAATTTTGGATCAGCCGAGATGTGGCTTTCAACGGAGAACTTCTCTGCCATGCATTCTACGAGGACTCTCGCTCGTCCCAGCTCCTCGACATAAAGAGCGTCTTGAAATTTGCCAGTATTGCAAAGCAAGCTAGTGAGCAAGTGATAAGGAAAACTACCGTGCTCTTCTAACAGAGATATTTCAAACTCTTTGTTTCCTTTAAGAAAACTCCTCAATTGTTCATATTTTCCAATACATTGAAGGAGATGTTCCTTTGCCTCCACAACCTGTGATTGCGATACCTTTAACTGTGTGATGCTGAGAAGGCTGCTAAACTCAGTCATTATGTCTCCAATTCCACTGCTTATGGAGCGAGCCTTCTCTAAGTAATCTTCTGCCTCGTCGTATTCACCAAGCGATACAGATAGATTTCCGAGGTTGAGGTAACTTTGTACTTCCAGAGCTTTATCGCCACATTCCTTGCTGATGGTGAGCGCCTTCTGAGAATGTTCTTTTGCTTTCTGATTGTCATTGATAAAAGCGAACACTACTGCCAAACCTGTGGAACCGCATCCTTCATCTCTTCTTTGTCCAATTGCTGTACTGATGCTGAGTGCTTTGTCGAAATATTCTTTAGCTTGACGATATTTCCTAAGCCTGCAGTAAACGTTTCCAAGGGCTAAGTATGCTGAACATTCGTTTCCTCTGTCTCCTATTCCTTTTGCGATGGCGATTGCTTTCTCGTAATATTCTTTGGCCTTCTGATATTCGCCAAGGGATTGAAACACACCTCCGAGGTTCCCGTATGTTGTTCCTTCTCCATTTCTGTCGCCGATTTCTATCGCGATGGCAATTGCTTTCTCGTAATATTCTTTGGCCTTCTGATATTCGCCAAGGGATTCAAACACAGCTCCGAGGTTCCCGTATGTTGTTCCTTCTCCATTTCTGTTGCCGATTTCTATCGCGATGGCAAGTGCTTTCTCGTAATATTCTTTGGCCTTCTGATATTCGCCAAGGGATTGAAACACAGCTCCGAGGTTCCCGTATGTTCTTCCTTCTCCATTTCTGTCGCCGATTTCTATCGCGATGGCAATTGCTTTCTCGTAATATTCTTTGGCCTTCTGATATTCGCCAAGGGATTGAAACACAGCTCCGAGGTTCCCGTATGTTGTTCCTTCTCCATTTCTGTCGCCGATTTCTATCGCGATGGCAAGTGCTTTCTCGTAATATTCTTTGGCCTTCTGATATTCGCCAAGGGATTTAAACACACCTCCGAGGTTCCCGTATGTTGTTCCTTCTCCATTTCTGTCGCCGATTTCTATCGCGATGGCAAGTGCTTTCTCGTAATATTCTTTGGCCTTCTGATATTCGCCAAGGGATTGAAACACAACTCCGAGGTTCCCGTATGTTCTTCCTTCTCCATTTCTGTCGCCGATTTCTATCGCGATGGCAAGTGCTTTCTCGTAATATTCTTTGGCCTTCTGATATTCGCCAAGGGATTCAAACACACCTCCGAGGTTCCCGTATGTTGTTCCTTCTCCATTTCTGTCGCCGATTTCTATCGCGATGGCAAGTGCTTTCTCGTAATATTCTTTGGCCTTCTGATATTCGCCAAGGGATTGAAACACAACTCCGAGGTTCCCGTATGTTCTTCCTTCTCCCTTTCTGTCGCCGATTTCTATCGCGATGGCAAGTGCTTTCTCGTAATATTCTTTGGCCTTCTGATATTCGCCAAGGGATTGAAACACACCTCCGAGGTTCCCGTATGTTGTTCCTTCTCCATTTCTGTCGCCGATTTCTATCGCGATGGCAATTGCTTTCTCGTAATATTCTTTGGCCTTCTGATATTCGCCAAGGGATTCAAACACAGCTCCGAGGTTCCCGTATGTTGTTCCTTCACCATTTCTGTCGCCGATTTCTATCGCGATGGCAAGTGCTTTCTCGTAATATTCTTTGGCCTTCTGATATTCGCCAAGGGATTGAAACACAGCTCCGAGGTTCCCGTATGTTGTTCCTTCTCCATTTCTGTCGCCGATTTCTATCGCGATGGCAAGTGCTTTCTCGTAATATTCTTTGGCCTTCTGATATTCGCCAAGGGATTGAAACACAACTCCGAGGTTCCCGTATGTTGTTCCTTCTCCATTTCTGTTGCCGATTTCTATCGCGATGGCAAGTGCTTTCTCGTAATATTCTTTGGCCTTCTGATATTCGCCAAAGGATTTAAACACAGCTCCGAGGTTCCCGTATGTTGTTCCTTCTTCTTGTCTGTCGCCGATTTCTATCGCCATGGCAAGTGCTTTCTCGTAATATTCTTTGGCCTTCTGATATTCCTTCGAGGTTCCCATGTTGTTCTCTGTCGCCGATTTCTATCGCGATGGCAAGTGCTTTCTCGTAATATTCTTTGGCCTTCTGATATTCGCCAAGGGATTGAAACACACCTCCGAGGTTCCCGTATGTTCTTCCTTCTCCATTTCTGTCGCCGATTTCTATCGCGATGGCAAGTGCTTTCTCGTAATATTCTTTGGCCTTCTGATATTCGCCAAGGGATTGAAACACAACTCCGAGGTTCCCGTATGTTGTTCCTTCTCCATTTCTGTCGCCGATTTCTATCGCGATGGCAATTGCTTTCTCATAATATTCTTTCGCCTTTAGATACTCGCAGAGGATAAAACAAAGAGATCCAAGTCTCGCGTAAGCCACTACCTCTTCTCTACGGTGGCCAATCGCTTTCATGATGGTAAGAACGCTTTTACAAAGTTGCTTTGCCTCTGCAAACCAACATTTTGCCTTGTATTTGTCTACCAGTTGTATGGTTAGTTCTCCAGCGAGGAAAAACTTGTCAATAAGTTTTGTGGTGTATCGTACTGCATTTGTGTAACCAGAGGTGGCGTAGAACACATTGAATAATACATCAGCGATATCATGATCAAGGTCAATACCAGAGTCAAGCTTGTGAAGTAGAAATAAACATTCATTACATAACTCGGTCGCTTGTAGGCCACGATCAGTGTTAAGGAGAAATATGGCGACATCCAAACCAATCTGGACTGATTTTAGGATTTCTGCGGCGTTATTCATTACGTTATGTCCTGAATGTTAAAAGAATTTCCCCAAACGTGAGAAAAGAATCAGCAAAAACTAAGACTTTCTATAGATGCATGAGCGCCTCTTGTCTTTCTTGTTTAATTCAAGACAAGCTCTATCAATTTTTTTAACCAATTGATCATCGGTTAATCCATTGATCGTGCTATGCTGGCGTTCAACTCACTGATTATTTACTTTTTACATGCCACACAATTAATTAGAACTGAATCTGGTCGCAGTGTTCTGTTTGAAAGTGACTTCCACTTACATTCATTAGAGGGTGAATCAAAATTAGCACCGTTAGCCGTTAACATTTAAGTTCAACTCAAAGCATCGTTAAATTGGTGTTTGTGTAACAAATTAAACGACATAAAATGTGTTGAATCTACATCAACATTATTATTTCTAGAACTTCTACTGGGTAGACATTGTGAATAGAACGGGACCATTTTAGTGGGAATGTATTCTACACGACGCGTCTTGCGCGTGCATTCATGTCATTCACATTGACCTCTGCAACTCGCTGTATCTGCCTGTTAGTTGAAAGAACTTTCCTGAATAATGCTTTTTGCTCAGGAAGAAGATTTCCTCGGACTTCTAACTTCAACAGATGGCATTTATGTTATTGATATGTTTTGGTTTTGAAGAACAATTTTGACTTTTCTTGAAGAATCCTATATCTGTGATTTTTATCAGGAGAGAAGATGAAAGCGCAAGCTGTCCCTTCTTTCTTAGTGGACGGTAAGTGGCTGAATTTTTTTTGTAGGACTATGAAGGAGCTAGGTTCTTCTTTCCCATCCCTTGTGCTCACCCATTTTTTCGCCCTCATGCACCCCCCTATCACTCGCTCCAGCCGAGTGAGCGGCTTAAATCGGAAAGATTTTTACCGGATTAGATTTTCAATTTGGAATTGAAAATTACTTGAAAGAATACAGTACATATAAACCTTCAACAACAGAAAAATTTAACGAGATTGATGTGTAGTATCGATTCCTCCGCACGCAGTGCGAACCTACGTTTTTGTAATAAACATGTTCTATCCAACATGGAGTGTGTTAACTGAAGATCGTACATTTGGCGACGAGGACGCGGATTACAAGAAGACGCGGATTACAAGAAGAAAATCAAGGCCAGAGAAGAGAAAACCAGCGAAATCCACGGCTAAGACCTCGAAGCACTTAAGCGACCGAAAAATTAGAAGAAAGAAGAAGACAAGAAAGCAAGAAACGTCGAAGAGAACTTGCGAAGAGACCACGTGCTCGATACGAAATCATACCAGATACGCCAGGCCAAGAAGGAGCCCAAGGACACGCGCCGAATCCGACAGAAATAAGAGTGTTCAGCACCGGGAAATCACTAAGGATAGAGCCATTTAAGATTCCAGAAAATCCCCTGGAAGTTGGACGAGCATGGAGAGAATGGATTGAAGACTTCGAGGACGAAACATCGTATTTCGAGATCACAGAAATAAGAGACCGCGTGAGCGCCCTAAAGATTTATGGCAGCAAAGAAATCAAGAAACTTGCACGTAACTTGCCAGATACAGCGCCAGTGGTCGGGGACGATGACTACAAGCAGCTGAAAAGGAAACTAGACAACTACTTCCTGCCGAAAAAGAACAAGCATCACGGAAGATTCACGTTTAGCAAGCAAAGACCCATCGAAGGAGAGAGTGTTATCACATACGCGGCGCGACTACGCGAAAAATCAAAGGATTGCGAGTTCGGCGAGCAAACAGACGACAGAGTCCTGGAAACCGTCAAGGACAGCGAACTCGTTAAAAGAAGCATTCAGAAGAAATGGAACCTTGATCAATTCCTTGAAGAAGCAAGCCAAAGAGAAGATATCAATCAGCAAGTCAAAGACATGAAAGAAGATTTCAAGATATCGAAAGTCGAGTACCAGTCAAAGGATTTTCCGAAAAGCGGCAAATGGGGCGGAAGAAGAAACTTGAAGAAGAAACCGCTGCGACCTCCCAGAAAACGAGAAAACAAGAAAGAAGAGAAAGAGAAAGGCAAAAGCTGTGGTCACTATGGAAAGACAGGAGCACACCCTCCAGGCCGAAACTGTCCAGCATACGGACAACAGTGTTTAAAATGTGGCAAGTACAATCATTATGCGTCATGTTGCAGAACCGGTGCCCAACCTCAAGAGGGATCTAAGGAGACCAAGAGAGGGCGAATCAAGAAGACAACAGAGGCTGAGGAGACAAGCAGCGACTCAGATGATGATTACATTTACCTTCAGGAGACAGCACTACACTTACACAGAGTGAAGAAGATAAGATCAGGTCCAAACCAAGACACTGTACTAATCCGCATCGGAGACATTGATGCTTTCGTTGAACCAGATAGTGGAGCCAGCGCAAATATGATGGATGAATATCAATTCAAGGCCCTCAAACACAGATCCCAAGAAATTAAGGAACTAGACCCTAGCAGAGACACACTGAAGACACTTCAATCTGACCTAACAGTCAAAGGCGAATTCACCACAACATTGCGGAACAAGAACCGGGGTACACAGAGCAAGTTCTTAGTGATCCAAGGTAAGATGGACTCTCCGCCACTCCTAAGTAAGAGCACACTATTGGAGCTTGGAATGCTCAAAATCGACCCAGAAGGAACACTTAAAGAAACCAATGAGCTGAGAATCAAAACCGTGAAAACATCTGATGACAGCATTGAAGCAGCACTGAGCGAATACAGCGATGTATTCCAAGGGATCGGTTGTTTTCGGGAAAAGAGTACAGGCAAGAAGATTGAAGTCAAGCGAGAAATGGAACCTGATGCAGAACCTGTGGCTCAGAAACCACGCCCTGTACCGTATCACCTACAGAAACCACTTAAAGATTGGCTTGATCAGGGAGTGAATGAGGAGATATTCGAGAAAGTTCCAGACGGAGAAGCAATTACTTGGTGTTCACCACTCGTGGTTCAACCCAAACCCAAGTTCACAGATATGAAGAGTGAAGAGTTAGAGTCACACATGATTAGGGCAAGTATCGACATGAGGATTCCAAACCAGTCTATGAAGCGGAGCCGCTGCGTCCAATTACCAAGAGTAGAAGACTTCATCTACCGCCTACATGACTGCAAGATCTTTACGAAGCTGGATCTCAGACAAGGTTACCACCAGCTAGCTCTAGACCCATCCACAAGACAAGTAGCAACATTCAGCACACCTTGGGGAAACTACAGACCCCAGCGACTGGTGTTTGGAGCAAAATCGTCACAAGATGTATTTGACGAAGCCATGTTCAGAATCTTTGGGGACATACCCCACTGCTTAAACCCGAGAGATGATATACTTCTCGGTGGAAGAGACGAGACAGAACATAGAGAAGTACTGAAGACCGTCCTAAAGAGAGCGAGAGATCACGGAATCACATTTAATAGAGAGAAATGTCAGTTTGGAAAGGAGCAGATCGAATTCTTTGGACATGTCTTCACCAAGGATGGACTGAAGCCATCGCCTGACAAAGTAAGAGTAATCAAAGAATGTGGAGTACCTAAGAACAAAGAGGCAGTGCGAAGTTTCCTTGGAATGGCAGGCTACCTGGACAACTTCATCAAGAACTATGCCACCATAGCAGCACCGCTGTACCAGCTAACCAGAAAAGAAACAATGTTCCACTGGGGAAAACAAGAGGAAGTTGCATTCAGGAAGATACAAGACAACATCTCAAGTGAGAAGACTATGGCATTCTTCGACCCAAGCAAGCCCATAATCCTCCGTACAGAGGCCAGCTTCAATGAAGGCCTATCAGCAGCCTGCTCCAAAAGACAGACAGAGGCATACAACTGGTACATTTCATCAGCCGGACAATGACAGAGACTGAGAAGAGGTACAGTCAAACCGAGAAAGATGCTTTAGCAATCAAATGGGCCAAGGAGAGATTGAGAATTTACCTACTTGGAGCACCCAGATTCAGAATCGTGACTGCTCACAAGCCACTGATACCTTTGTTCAACAAAGTAAAGGCCAAGGTACCTCCAAGAATTGAGAAGTGGATCATGGAAATGCAAGACGTAGATTATGAGTTGGTGTACGAACCAGGAAAGGACGAAGCAGACCCCTTAGACTTCCTCTCCAGACACCCTCTGCCTGAGACAGGAGATGACAAAACTGAGGAGATCATCCGATGGAACGTGAATGCAGAGCATGCTGTGGTTGTCACGCGAATCAGAGAGGAAACCCAGAAAGATGAGATCATGCAGCGATCGGCCAAGAGGATCGCTAAAGGGGACTGGGAGAAACACAAGAGAGATAAAGACCTTGAACCCTACCTACATGTGAAGCAGGAGTTATCAGTTGCAGAAGGACTTATCTTCAGAGAACACCGAATAGTACTACCGCCGACACTCCAGAGAAAAGTGGTCAGACTAGGACACAGCCTAGGACACTTAGGAAAAACCAAGACCAAGCAAATGCTGAGAGAGAAGTACTGGTTCCCTCTGATGAACAGCATGATCGACACAGCTATTGACCAGTGTTATGAGTGTCAAGTAGCTACGAAAGGAAACAGAGAAGAACCAATCAAGGTGACCAACATCCCAAACCGACCTTGGGACACAGTATCCATTGACCATGGTGGACCATACCCAGATGGTCACTACAATCTCGTCCTGATTGACAAAAGAACCAGATATCCAGTGGTAGAGTCAGTACCATCAACTGACTTCCAGACTAATAAGGAGAGATTGAAGCACATCTTCGCCACCTATGGAACTCCGAGGAGAATTGAGAGCGACAACGGACCCCCGTTCAATTCTAAAGAGTTCAATGAATTTGCAGAGCAGGAAGGATTTCAGCACCATAGGGTGACGCCCCTTCACCCAAGAGCGAACGGAGAAGTAGAGAGATTCATGCAAACCCTAAACAAGACCGAACAAATTGCAAGTCTGCAAGGCAAAAACCGTCTTGAGAGGAGAAATGCGGTTCAAGACATGCTTACTGCTTACAGATCGACACCACACCCAGCTACTGGAGTCGCACCTTATGAAGCCCTTAAGGGGACATCTGTGAGAACGAAGTTGGATTACATTGAACCTGAACCACAAAGGAATGAGAAGGATGACTTAATTGACCACAGAGATGCAGAGTACAAGCAGAAAATGAAGCGACAGAGAGAAGGGAGAAAGACCAGAGAGAATAATCTGCTACTAGGAGACTATGTGCTTGTCAAGCAGCCAAGGAAGAACAAGTGGAGTACACCCTATGAACCTGTGTTCTATGTTGTGTGCAATATTCATGGTTCCCAAATAACCGCCAGACGTGTCACAGATGGACGAACAGTCTGCCGAGATGCCAGCCAATTTAAGCTAGCAAATGCAGTTATCAACACCTCCGATGAACCAGAGAAGAGTGAGGAAGCACAAACACCACAGGCAGTTGTAGACCTCGAGATCCCAGAGAAGGTGAATCCACCAAGTGTACCACCTGATACAACAGCAAATGTAGAGAAACCACCCAGTACAGAGATATTGGTAATACCGGAACAGGAAACTGAACGGAAACAAGGAACAGAACCTGACCAGCCAGTGAATAAACCAGTAGTGACGAGACCCAGACGGGAAAGGCGCCAGCCCTTACATTTGAAAGACTATGTGCTAACTTAAAAAAGACACTTATTGACAGTTGACTTTAGTTTCGTTATAAGATTGAACTTTTGCCTAGAGTTACAAGCTTTTGTTAGTTTGGGAGGGATGTAGTATCCATTCCTCCGCACGCAGTGCGAACCTACGTTTTTGTAATAAACATGTTCTATCCAACATGGAGTGTGTTAACTGAAGATCGTACAAGATGTTTCCTTTTTTGTCATTTTTTTAAAAATATTTTGCCTACCTGAATGTATCCTCAAATTTTTTAAAATCATTCCCTTCATACTTTATGGCAAGAAATTGTAAAATTTTGGTTATGGTAGTTTTACCAATGTTTATATTTTTTACCCGCGCAGCCAGGATGGTCAACATGCAAGAAGGTTTTCTTGTTTTACTTTGGTAATCTATTTTGATAACTCTTGCAGTCTCGAAAACTTTCAATTGTCTTTGATATTTCTGTATTTCATTGCAGTATCATACCAAAGCTATCAAATTGACTTTAAAAATCCAGGGACTTAATTTGCCTCTAATCGCTTGCTCTTATTAAATTATTCAGTACTTAAATCTGATTATGAATCGAGACAAATCAAAACATCTTTCATTGATCTAGGGACGTTCTTCTACGCCACACAAATCTTGTGTTGTCTGGTAACAGAAATATTTGATGGAAATAAATTCAATAAAAAAAGTTACATTCCACTGTAAAACGAAGTGTGAAACCATTCAATGTCTCCAGAATGTTCAGATAAATATATGTGTTGGTATTTCTAACCTTGTGTCCCGTACAGATAAAGCCGGCGTGTCAGTATCAGAAACTCGCTTTTGAGATGCGTGAAATCATACATATAAATGCCGTTGATCTCAATGAGCTTGTTAGACATGGGATTTTTCGCTTTCCCTAGTATATTTAGAGACTTAAACAGTTAAATTGCTTTGTTAAATATCTTTTGTTAACTCTATCAGTCTCACTTGCAGAACGTTCGGTTTTTTCCCTGGTTAGTTCTCTTGGTACAGCACTTTTACAACTTAATTGAAACTAAGGAAACATTGACAATACAGAGCTAAAAATGGGAAAAAAATCTCACCTTTGAAAACAGAAAACGTCTTCTTTAGTCTCCCGATGGTGTGACTGATAAAAACATAAGTAAGAGAGTGAAATTAGACTTTCGCTGTCAAACAAACGTTATTGCAAATAGCTAATATAAGAACGTTTTACTCACACGTTTGGTAAGAAGAAACCATAAAAAAAAACTAAGGAAGAAAATTTTTTATAATTGCCTATAATAAAGAAATAAAAAAACGCGCTGAGTGCATTGTTAAGTTATGTAAGCACGCGGGAATTTTTTATGAACACTCGAGAAGTGCGGACCGTTGACGTAGGCTGCGTGCATTATATCTCATTATAAAATAATTCAAATAGTACGCGCGCTCTGATTGGCCATAAAACCATTTTACATGAGCGTATGTAAACACGGTTTTCGTTCCTCTTTCATTAGTTATTTTATAAAAGAAATGTAAAATGGTTTCCGTGTTTAAATAGCCTGATGTAAACACTTGGGAGGTTGGGAGAACACCCGATAAGCTGGAAACCACTCCGCTTGGCGTCGTGGTTTTCTACGCTTATCTCGTGTTCTCCCAACCTCCCGCGTGTTTACATCAGGCTATGTAAACATGGAAACCATTTTACATTTCTTCAACAGTGCACTCGTGTGACGTAAGGCGCGTGCTTTATGGAAATATAATGAACTCGTTCTGACCAGTCACGGCGCGCGTATTTCTCTGAACATTTTATAATATATGTAAAATAACATACGGGATCTTCGTATTTTGTATCTTTAAAGAAATGATGGAAATGTAGTTTCTCCTTACAATATCAAGATACCTTACAGAAATCAAGTGGTGAGAGTAATCAGATCGATCAACAAGGTTTTATGTCTATCATTAAGATATAGCAAATCTATATTTTAGCGCTAAATATTTCTGAAATAAACTTTAAGCCGCTCACCTTTGGAAAAGAAAGGATATCTGGATAGTTAGGAAACCGCACGAAGATATGAAATTATCTGTACAAAGAAAAGACAAGTACAAAGAGTTACTGCTGGATCGAATATTAAAATGATCGGTTTAAATAATTATTATAAAAATCTAAAGGATGGATGTTGGATTACAACTTGCTCGTAAGATCGTCAGTAAATATTGGAGCTCCTCGCATATCATTGATAAGAGCTTAGTGGTTTTGATCGCGCTTTGACCGATTTTTTAGACTTTCAAGTCACAGAAGTGAGGAATATTTTGCTTTTCTTTACAACATCAACATTTCCTCCAGCGAATAGCGAGAATAAGATACAATACCAGACTCTCTTTTATGACTAGCAAGGTAATGTAAAGGAGCTCGAAGGAAGAATTGCTGATAAGATAAACTTTTGTTAGATTGTTTGAAACAATAAAAAGTCATACATCATTAAATTTCCCCATCATCACATCAGCTACTCATAAAGATATTTCAATTTTTTTATAACGGGAAAAGAATGATTGTTGCTAAATTTAGTTTTTTCAGCTGTAAAGCTTTGAAAAAATAAACATGGGCTGTTCAGGGTGCTAGTTGTTAACGTGATGAGACTGATTCCAAGAAACAGATAAATGCAAGTAGCTCGGTTAAGAACAAAGTACTGAGTTTGATTGGTTAATAACATCATTGTAAAAGTAAGTCTACGACGTGTAAACATGAATTCCTTGTTACGCCATGAGGAGCGTTGTACATTATTGTGGCTTTTTCTTTGAATTGTGAATTTGCTGTTCTTGAATTTGATTTCTGTTGTGCCTGATTTGAGGCGGCGAAAAAAGTTTTGAAAACGGGAAAGGAAAGAAAATTTATTTTTCATTTGGCTTCTTACCCTCGCACAGAGAAGAGTGTCTTGTTTAGTATTCTGACCGTATGACCGTGAAACAAGGAAAAAACCAGGAACTGAAATCACCAGAAACCAGCGACTGAAATAATGCTTTTGCTGCAAAAAACGATGATAACAACAGCTAATGTGAAAAAAAATCTAAATCGGGAAACTTTATACAGCTTTCCCATACAAATACAGAGAAAATATTCCATCTTTAATCTCATTCTGTCACTCACAGACTGACTTTTGAAAAAACTATTCAACTAATATCAAAAGTTCGTTTTTCTTGATGTAATACTATATTCTCTTAAATCATTCACAATAACATCATAGCACTTTAAAAGGAGAGTTAGAAATTAGATCATGGAAGACAAAGGCTTCGTGTTGGATAAGCCGTTTTATTTTCTAGACTATTACCAGTTTAAGACAAAAATTTTTCAGTAAAATTCTTCACAAAAATCTAGGATTTTTTCGAGGTTACAAAAATTCCTCTGCCATCGAATGCTCATTACAAAACATTTCAGTTTGTAAAGCGGGAAAATATTGTTTCTAAATCGATACCTTTTACTGCTCACCTTCTAAAAGTGTCGTGACAAGTATTCTGATCGCGTGACTAATAAAACCAAAGATGAGAAACTGAAATAAGACGTTCTCTGCAGAACAAAGATAAATGCAAATAGCTGTTGTAAGGAAGGAGTGAAACATTGATCGATAAAAAGAATAAATAATTTTTTAAAACAAAGAGGGAACAACGGGTAACAAGAGTAAAGATTAAGTTCAATTTGCCAAAAAACAAGAATGGGAGTTGAAGAAATTTAACATCCATCGCTTTCCATCTTCTCCATGAATTAAACGCGCAAACAGATTTTCCCGCTTTGAATTAATATGAAATTTAATTCGGTGTGCGATTTGTTTATACATCTACGCTATGCTACCATCGACACTGAAAAGCTTTAAGCGACTCACGGCAGCGAGGGCAAAAGATTAGGCGTAACCAAACCGACATTTCACATAAAGATTAATGGCTCCAGATATGCCGAATATTTTCATAAAAAAGTTTTAATTTCGAATGGTCATATTTTACACATTTCTTACAATGGTATCGCCAACAACATTACTTTTTTCCGTCTTTCTAAACTGATTTGAACCTTGTTTTGCCAAAGATAACTAACAAAGAACGGAAAATCAAAACGTAACGACATTTTACATTTGTAAAACTTTAGGGAATTTTTGGCACAAGCGTGTTGATCGTTTATCCAGTCGTTCGACATTAATTTATGAAACGAATTTTGAATTCAAAACGGCAGAACTACCGAGTTAAATGGCCTCTAATTCTTAACATGAAAAAGATTTTTAATCCTTGAGATACAAAATGATCTAAATAAATAAAGATAATTTTTGCAGAATTACGTTCCTTTGTAGCAAGTCATAATGTTTCTCATATCAATCATTTCATTATCAAATGTCTTTGTAAGGATAGCTCTAATTACAAAGGCGTCGAAATACGTTTTGTAAAATTGATAATATAGCCCATTCGAATGATGAAACATCGTACTCACCACGAATTCAACTTTGAATGCTTTGTTGCTTTGTAAAGTGAAGCAGCCAACTTTAGAAACAGAATCAGCAGCATATGTCTATTTTAGTTAGATTACAAGTGGCGAATCTCAGCTCACCTCTGAAGGGCAGAAATTGAAGGCTCTCCCCTCCAACCACGTGGTCTGGATACTCTGATGATTACTTGACTCAACTGAAAGCCCGGGGGGAAGAACTCCACTTTCAGTCTGATCAGAGTGGGAGGTGTACCTCTTGAAACCTTCAGTTTATTTACAGCGGTCTTCCAACGGCTCCAAAAGGGAATTCACCATTGCCATAAAGTTGCGTTACTTAAGAAAGTGCGTCACGCCATTGTGAGTCCTTTTATGGTCCAAAGAATTTCCTTTAAGTAGATGGAAATTGCTTTACAGAGCTGACAAAAAAATAACGAAGTAAAAATAAAACAGCGGAGAAAACGGATGGCTGAACTTGGAGGAGATTGACACGGATTGAAAATGTCCAACCAAACCATAGCCGTCAAAATGACCGGAACTCTTTCTTCGGGCTTAAAAAGAAAATTTGAGGAGATAA